TCTCAATATCGATGGACAAGAAACTATTTCATCTTCCATATCGAAAACTAAGAAGACGATGGTGGTTGTATCAAAGTAGATCTGAGAACTCCGACTAAAATCGTCGTGTAAACCGTGGTTTTAGAGTTTTTGGTAAGTCTATGCTCATAAAAGAGCTTTGACGAGAGCTGTTAAGGGATTTTTATGAGATAAAAGTAAGAATTCAAGTCCTATGGTATTAGGATTTTTCAGATCTTAATGCCAATTGGTGGATTAAGATTGGTGAGGACATCAGATCGCGTCTTTGGTTAAAGATAAATGAGAAATTAAGAGATGAAGTATGGAAATCAAAGAGAGGTACGACAAGAAGGAAACCCAATCACCGAAAGTATAAAGAGATACAATGATTTTTTTGATTAGCGGTGAAAACTTAAGATTTTTATCGGCAAGATTTGTTTTTCTTGGAAACGATGATGTATAAGATTTTTTAACAGGAATCGTAAAATTAAAAAATTGTTATAAAAAAAAAGTTGCCCTGAAAGAAAAATGTGTCATATGTTAGATTGGATGTGTGTTAGTTTGTAAAATAAACTTAAAAAATGTGTACATGTGTAATTATCTCAAAAAAGAATTTGGAGATATTCTAGCCCATTTTTAAACCCAAATCTGTTGTTCGCTTTTTTGGTTTGTTTGCCGGGAAAGTCTAATTTACTTTTTGTTTGAGGATGTCATGCATTGCAAATTCCTCTCTACGGAAGAGATCGTTTTTACCTTCCTCTCTTCTTGGGAAAAGAACTTTACCAATCTCCCTTATTTGAGAGGAGGTTTTATGAAAATTTAACCGACATGTCTTCTTACGTAGTAATTCTATACGAGACCAGAAAAGACAACTGGAACCGCTTCAGCGAAGCTTGGAGATAAGATTTCAACTTCAATGTCACAAGTTAAAGTGAGTAATTTCAATCGTGGCGGTTTTGCTGGGAAAGATCTTATCGACGCATTTGAGCATGATCATCTTATATACGTTTAAATTTTATTGTCTTGAATTTGTACTGTCATAGCTTAAGAGGATGGGTAATTCCTTTTTGTTATAATATGGAAGATTAAGAAATGAAACAAAATTGTTGCACACAAAAAAAGAGAGATATAGAGATAGTGATAGAGAGGTCTTACCGAGGGGAGAGAGTCAAGGGGTGAGACACAACATAGCCGCCGAGGAAAAAATGAATGAAACGATTTAAGTCTTTTTTCTTGGAAAAGTGTATAGAAAAGAGAACATTTTCAATTTATTTTTCCTTTCAGATTTTAGATTCAAAATCTTAGAGAAAGCAATTTGAAATATTTTGAAAATTGGACCGATCGGTCCCATTAATTCAATAAATCTACACTATTAAAAGATGATCATTTTTTATAAATAATCTTTCCCTAACGTGTAATTTACCTTAATTGCCATTAATAAATTATAAATTATGTAACGATTCTAACAATACAATATATAATTGGATCATGGATCACTAACTTGGCTCAATGCTGTATCTTAATGCTAAACCGGCTTCAACCTAACCTGCTTCAATCAAACCAAAAAAATCAAACCATTAGTTCCCAAAAATCGATTAAAACAAGTTCTCCTATTCAGCCATATCTGTTTTTGTTTTTCTTTGTCCAATTAAGCAAAAACGTACACTACTTGATTGTAATCAAGTCTATTAATATCTTAACTTATAGAATACCAAACCATTAGTGTTAGAAAATCGATTTGACTATGATTAAGAATCGCTGCCATTAACTGGTTTCTTACTAAGACATTATCTATTTTTCAAACCTTTTCGATCTTTTAAACCTTTAATACGAAACTAAATCTGTTAAAAATATTGTCATTAAATCTTAACCTGCAACAACTACCTCCCCTAAGCATCTCAACTAGACATTTTATTTACAAGATATTACGGTGAAACTAGAAACTGCCAACTAACTAAAAATCATCTACAGTATAAATAATAGTGAGGATATTCTGTATATCTTAAAATTCCTAGCAATCTATATTCAATATTCTATATTGTTAGTTGGATATACTATTTTCTCAAACTATTCTGTATTTATTTATGGATATTGGAGATCTTCCATATCTTTTTGAATTGTTAATAACTATTCGACTTAGTTGAATTCATTTCGCCTATAAATACTGCCTTTGGCTTAGCTATTGCACACATTCTCAAAAACAAAGAAACCTAAATCTCACGCTCTTTTTAGCAATAAATTGACTTCCCTCATTGGCTTTACTAACATGTCCGACGTCAAGCCTTTCAAAACAGGCTGGAGAGTCTGTGTGAAAGTCCTCCATAAAGCAATACACTGCACAATGTGGTGGTGGGTCAATGGAGTTGATTCTTGCCGATGAATCTGTAAGCAGAAAATATTTATTAGTACACAATGTTCTCTTAAATCCTTAATTTTATGTTTTAAGTACTGTACTTATACTAAATATATGCTTATGGTAAAAAGAACTATGTTCAGTGTGTTGAGCGTTTACTTGGAATGGAAAGCGTCTTAAAACTTTTCATTAACCTCTGCATCTGGCGAGTACCGACCAACAAAACACCGTTACAAGATGTCTTTGACGGATAACACTTCTATCACTAAGTGTAATGTGAAGAAGAAAACATGACATGCATATTTCAATATTATCTATGGAACGTAATCTTACAATGATCTCTTGATGTAAAATGGGTCTTCAGAGGATGTTGAATAAGTGGTAAAGAGATCAAGCTACTTTTTGCTAAATTTTCAGTCTCACAAGTGAGAACATGATCAAACAATACTTCCATTCTTAATTTTAAAAAGACGAGTATCCATGTAAATATCTGATATTTTCTGTATCATCGATCTCTAAACATGATTTCATATTTACTATTCTGCAGTGAACTAGGAACGTTACCTGCACATACATAAAGCATCCAAGTTGCGTCTCTTCTAATTCCTTCAACGACACCATAACTCCTTGTTTGTCTTGTGCATGTGACTGCAAAAACAAGAGAGATGCACCAAGTGAGCAATACAAAAAGATGTACCTGAGCCGTAGTCCATCCCACATGTAAATTAATATCGTTTCAGTGATAGCAAACGACAAGAAAATGTCATCTGTCTCATATATAGGGCTTTTATAATTTGATTTCTAACAAGCAAGAGTGTTACAAAAATATATTTCAAGAGACATATCCAGAGAGCAGATTCAGGGGATTAAGTTAGTTTCTTTTACCAAAGGTGTAAAAGATTGACTTTTTTGAAAAACTTTTCAAGAGACAATCAAAAGCCAACTGTTACATAAGGTTAAACCTATGATATGGACCAATAGGATTCACATAATCATCTTTTATGTTGTTAATTCTTTTAGCTTTCGTATATTGATATAATTCGCAGTACAGCCAATCTCTAATTTCTGTAACCAAGTTTGTGCATTGCCATAATCTACCTAATGTTACATATTGAAACAGAAATCTCCTAAGCTTTCACTTTAAAACCAATTTCAGGAGTTGTTATAAGCACTAGCTGCAATAGAACATCGAAATTATACTTCCAAATGTTTTAGTTATAAACAGAATAAATTACTAAAGATCAAAACCTGTTAAGATCCATAAACATCAGTCAAAAGATTACCTAAAAATTCTTCAGATACCCTCTTCTGCGATTGTTCAGAATCAAAGACACTGTAGATATCGAGCCACTTCGATAGCCTTGCCGCTGCAACTATCAACGGCGTGTTTAGATAACAAGTGGGACAGTCCGAGTTCAACGTGAAGAACATCAGACCGGAGATTCTGAGAGAAGCTTCGATCTTTAGGTAAGAATTTCAATCGCTACGGAGAGTTTTTGAATCAGGTATTCAGTTACAATTCCAGCTAGAATCGCAAGTTAGGGAGGGACAGAGACAAATGTTATCGAAATGTCTTTATCGAATCCCAAGTGTTGGAGATGAGGTCACGACAGAGATGGTGGTTTTAGGGTTTTTGAGGGAGAGGTTGAAACTGGGGTTCATGGAGAATCCTAATTAGAGAGAAGAGCAAGACGAAGATAGAAAATCGCATCTTTAGACAATGTGACGTTCTCAATTCCGGAGAAGGGAAAAAAAATTGCTGTCTAAACCAAACAAAAAGGAGACTGGGCTCAAACAATATATTTCATCAGTAGGCCATAATTAAATTTCTTTATGAAGTATATCTTAATATGGGCTGGCCCAAATTCATCAATTTTTAATAAAATCCGCGCATAGGCGTGGATCCGAAATCTAATACATATTATTGGATTTGAAACTTGGTTCCACTGGTTGAGCAAGCCTGACCAGCCATTCAATGACAATGCTGAGTAAGTGGCCTGTTTATATACCATTAACAATTTGTGAGACAATGAATTTTATAAAATGTATGCATTATATATAATATAAGATGAGGTGATTTTTTGCCAAAGATACACAGTTATACATATAAAATAAATATAGTGTTGAAGGATATATTAAGATAAAAACAAAGCATTCATGCAATCAAATAAATTTTTAATTTCTATTAATTTTGCTATAATAAAGTATAGATTTTTTTTTTGTTTGTCAACAGATTTATTTCCATAAGATAAGAATTTCTATAATCAGATTTATAAATTGGTTTGTATAAAATTTTGATTTAAAATAATAAAATCTCAGCTTTTTACGGTCTTCTTTTGGTCTTAGTTCTGCAAGAAAAAGGTAATTTTTATTTTTTAAGTAGTGAACTTAAATGTTTCTTTGACCCTACAATTTTTGTCGTCGTGTCTTTGATCCTAATTTTGGAATTTTCGTTTTTTCGTTTTTTCAAGAAAGATCTAAACTTTTTTTTACCATTGATGTGACCTTCCTCCTTGTCCTTTACTCTCTGTGTAGAGATCTCTGAATTTTTTCATCAGCTCTTCTTCAAAGACACCTCTTTAACACCTTCTCAGCTTCGTCTTCCTCAAATTCGTTACATTCTCCGATCTCTGTAAACCCTAATTCAACCATGGATCTCGCGGCGGAGGAGCTTCAATTTCTCAGCATCGGAGGTATTCTGCGCGAATCCACCACGATCCCCAAATTTTCCCCCAAAACCTTCTATCTCATAACCCTAACCCTAATTTTCCCTCTCTCCTTCGCAATCCTCGCGCATTCCCTCTTCACACAACCGATCTTAGCTCAGCTCGATTCTACTCCTCCTTCCGATCAATCTCAGACCAACCACGAATGGACTCTCCTCTTCGTCTACCAATTCATCTACATCATCTTCCTCTTCGCCTTCTCTCTCCTCTCCACAGCCGCCGTCGTCTTCACCGTCGCGTCTCTCTACACCGGAAAACCGGTTTCTTTCTCCTCCACGATGTCTGCGATTCCTCTGGTTCTAAAGCGTCTCTTCATCACATTCCTCTGGGTTTCTCTCATGATGCTGGTCTACAACTCCGTGTTCTTGCTGTTTCTCGTGATCCTTATCGTAGCCATCGATATACAGAGCGTGATCCTCACTGTTTTCTCCATGGTTGTGATCTTCGTCCTGTTCTTGGGCGTTCATGTTTATATGACCGCTTGGTGGCATTTAGCTAGCGTTGTCTCTGTTCTTGAGCCCATCTATGGCATCGCTGCGATGAAGAAGAGCTATGAGTTGCTTAAAGGAAGGACTCACATGGCTTGTTCTATGGTTTTTATCTATCTCGCGCTTTGTAGCTTCACTGCTGGAGTTTTTAGTGGAGTGGTTGTCCATGGAGGAGATGCTTTCGGGATTTTCACGAGGATTGTGGCTGGAGGGTTCTTGGTTGGTGTTTTGGTGATTGTGAATCTTGTGGGGTTGCTCGTGCAGAGTGTGTTTTACTATGTATGCAAGAGCTTTCACCATCAGGCCATTGATAAATCAGCTTTGCATGATCATCTTGGTGGGTATCTAGGTGATTATGTGCCTTTGAAGAGCAGTATTCAAATGGAGAACTTTGATATTTAAAATTAATGGATTAAATGAAGAAGAAGAAACAGTTTTTGCAGTTTGTCATTGTAAGTTGTAATATTTGTAATTTTTTCTCATAGTGTTTTAGCTTTTGCATATCTGAATTAATTTGGGGGAATAGGCTGATATTGCAGATGTTCCTTGTAATCTCATAGTGTTTTGTTAAGAATTGGAGATTAATGGAATAAAAATTGTTACAAGACAATTGCTTGACATATTAGTCTTGTCTCTTGCGCAACACGGTCTCTTGTATTTTCTGGTTTTATGAACCAGAACCATTGACTTTTCTCCCAGTCTCTTTCTCTTGCCAACTAGTAATAAAATTTTAACTATTCTTATTGTCTCTTCTCTTTCTAGAGCCACACTTTTGTCTTTCTACGAAATTCACAAAGGTAAAGTCATGTACGTTTCAGTACCTATCATGTCCCAAGTGGTCGAATGAAATATCCTTTTATAGTCATTAGTTTGCTACAGTGTCTGTATATAAAAAATTGTGAAGGAGCATTCCCATTCTCTCAAGTTACCTCTTGGTTAACTTAAATTGCTTATTTAGCAACTATGGATGAACAAAGAGCCCACCATTCTTCGTTTCCTCTTCAGAAGCCAAGCGAAGAAGATTAGGTTGCACCAGGGACAGTTCTTGAAAAGGTAACCAATGAGTCGTAAACTTTTCTCTTTAGCTCTGTTACACTTATTAGATATTGAGAGCTAGTTCAAAAGTTATGATTTTTTGTTGACTTCTAATTTTTGGTGTAGTAAAAGCTACAAGATCATCTGGAGCCACGTTTAGAGAGCATCGCCGAGCTCAGCCATTGAAAATGAACAATTTGGGTGCTTCAAATCGTTCTACAACTACGAACAATATGAACAGTTTGAATCGGACTCAGGAAGCTGTGAGAGTGAATATTCCAGGACTGAACACATCATCATCATCACCTGGTCAAATGTTCACCCCTGGAAGAAACGAATACCTAGATCTATGTGTACCTCTGTATCAAGCTGCTTTGAAAGGTGAATGGGAAGCGGCTAAGTTAATAATTGATAACAACAATGATATTGTCCGAGCAGCAATTACACGTAACCAGGAGACGACTCTCCACATTGCTGCTGCTACCAAACACAAAGGGTTTGTGAAACATTTGCTTACAAGAATGAGTAAAAGTGACCTGGCCCTGAAGAACAAAGACGAGAACACAGCTCTTTGTTTCGCTGCTGCGTCGGGAATAAAAGAGATGGCTGAAATGATGTATGATAAGAATGAAGGTCTCCCTATGATTCGAGGCAATGGAAAAGTGACTCCACTTTACATGGCTGATCTGTTTGGTCACAGAGAGATGGTTTTGTACCTTTACGACAAGACGGTCCTTGGAAGTCTAGGTGATTCTGAACTTGTCAATCTCTTTCATGCTATCATAGGAGCTGATATCCATGGTATGCATCTCTGGCCTTGGTTGATTTATGCGCTTTTACTTTGTTTGGAACATCCTCCATTTGTAGTAGCACCTCTTATATAGATGTTGACATGTGACACCTCTTGTGTAGATGTTGCATTGATGATGTTGGAGAGGAAGCCGGCACTAGCCACTTGTCAAAATAGCAGTGGAGAGATTGGTCTGCACTTAATGGCCCGTAAGCCTACAACAATTGGCCGTGAGAGGCAGCTCAATCACTTTAAGAGATTAGCAAATACCAGTAAGTACATAAACTTGTAATACTACATCGTAGCTCGCCAATATCTCACATGCTCTCTTGAACTGTTCCATTACATCAGGGACTAACCCAAATTCATTCATATAGTTTTCAAAGATATCTTCTCTGAGGATAAAATGCAGACTTTGGCTCATCAACTGGTTGAGAATATGTGGAAATTAGTTGTGAGGCAGCCTGAGATGAAGGTTACCGAATTACTAAGGACACCAACGAGGCTACTCTTTGACGCTGCATCATCGGGAAACGTTGAGTTTCTAGTGATTCTAATCCGTTCATATCCTGATCTTATATGGAAAGTTGATGAGAAGAACCAAAGCTTGTTCCATGTAGCTGCATTGAACCGTCATGAAAGCATCTTCAATATCATCTACGAACTTGGTTCGATCAAAGATTTGATAGCAGCTTATAGAGAAGTTGAAACCAAAAACAATATGTTACATCTCGTAGCTAGCTTGCCTCCTCCTGGTCGGTTGCAGATTGTCTCAGGAGCAGCTCTTCAAATGCAAAGAGAACTTCTTTGGTTCAAGGTAATGCACATAACATTCCATTTTTTTCGATCTTGTGCCTCGTGCCAAACTAGGGTTTCTCTCCCGCAGGCTGTTAAAAAGATTGTACCAAATTCATACATCAAGGCCAAAAATAGCGAAGGCAAAGTGGCTCATGACCTCTTTACTGAGCAACACAGAGAATTGAGGAAAGAAGGAGAGAAGTGGATGAAAGATACTGCAACCTCATGCATGCTTGTTTCTACTTTAATAGCTACTGTGGTTTTCGCTGCGCCTTTTACAGTACCAGGCGGAACCAATGACACAACAGGGGTTCCCATCTTTAAGGAGAAGCTGTGGTTTGATGTTTTCATAGTATCAGATGCCATTGCTATGTTTTCTTCCTCGGTTTCCATTGTGATTTTCCTCTCAATCCTCACTTCAAGGTATGCAGAAGATGATTTTCTTGTATCGTTACCTTCGAGACTGATGTTGGGACTGTTGGCCTTGTTTGTTTCTATCATCAGCATGGTTCTGTCGTTTAGCGCGACACTGTTCTTGATCAAAGACTGGAGATTCTTGTGGAACCTAACACTCCTTGTCTGTATTGCTTTCGTCATCTCTCTGTTATTTGCTCTGCTACACATCCGTCTTTGGTTTGACACTCTTCGCTCAGCGTATTGGTCCAAGTTTCTCTTCCGGAGACGTAGCCGGAGATTATATCTCTGAAGAGGATTTGCTTTTAGTTTTCTTGAAAGAAATATCTTTCCTTATCTTCTTATTTCATTTTGTTTTACTCTCTGTTTAATTTGAAAAGGGACGTGGTTACCATACAAGAACCGGTTCCTTTCTATTATTGTCATTGAATAAATAAGTCATGTTGTATATTTATGTTCGTTTTTAGAATAACATTGTCATAACCATGGAAAGAGATTTGGATCCTGAAGAAGCTGTAACATAAGAGAAAGAAAAAGGAATTGTTAAAGCAAAACTTGATCCAATGAAATTTGAGATATCGAAAAAGACCAAAAGATTATCCTCAATGTCAAAGATCATGTTCTTCACAAAGAACATCAATTTTCGTATTACAACTTCAATATGAATCTTCTTGAGAGGTTGGTTATACATAACATTTACATCCACTTCAACTAGATAAAGTAAAGTTTAAAATATTTGTGGAGATGTTTACAAACACACAAGATGGTTCTCGAATCTGATAATCACAAGTCTGTCAAAGAGATTGCGTTTGCTGCAAGTCACACATATACATCTGAAAAGTGTTGTATGGTTTCCTCACAAAACAATATATAATGATAGTAGTTGTTTATTTTGTTTAAAAATGGTTACGTTGAAGTTAAAACCCGTATAAACTGTGTAACGTCCGTGTCGATGCTATTAATAAGCGTCCAAGTAAAAGTCTATTACGTTAAAACGCTGTGCCATACAAGACTGCGTACAAGACCTGGTCAGATACGTGTCTATGGAATATGGAATGATTTGTTTATTCTTTTAACTCGGACAGTAATCTCTTCGTGTTTACGTCTCTATTATTGTCATTAAAATTAACAAGTCAAGTAGATATATTAATAATGCTTTGTCCCTAGACGACTTTATGGGTTTTCTCAGTTCTTAACGAATCAAGAAGAAGTGTAAACCATGGAAAGAGATTTGGCTCCCATCGTTGAAGTTCTTGATGAAGAAACCAATCAAAACCCATCAATTCAAGATTCATCTCTTCTTTGCAAAGTTTCTCCAGGAAAGAGTTCCAAAAACATATCATCGTTTCGAAGGCTCCTTTCTCTTCTCTGTTGCAATGCTTCCCCGATGTGTTCATCCGTGTCGAGGTACAGTATCCGAACCATTGGTTCCATGTCGCCATCAAATGGATCCAACCCCAACAGAGTTGCTTCTTTCAGTGACGGATCCTATGATTGTTACTTGTCACCGTTTAGATCAGATCACATACGATCACAAAGTGATAATTCAAGCTATGCAACCGGAGATGAATCGAGTTTGAGTGAAACAATTACAGAACGCGAAAGCAGCACTCAAAGCCCTGTTTCTCCACTATCCGTTGGATCAACTTTCCCTGCACAAAATTCAGCTCCAGGGAGCTACTCGCGTAGGTAAGCTGATGAATCAGATGATTGTCGCTCTCTTTAAACACTTGGAGTTAGCTAGGATGTATGTCACGAACTTTTTCTCTTCTACTCTTCCTTCGTATCCTTCCATCCACTCAAAGATCTCTAAATGGGAAGACAAAAAACTTGGAACTGAATCTGGTTGGTTCCATGAGAGTGCCATATCCTCGAGATCGACAATCGCCTGCGAAGCAAGACGCATTATATATGAAACGATTGTTTAACTAATTTTCAAGTCATCCCTCAAAACAAGAAGAGGACGATGAGTATGATGATACGTACATAGTCAACCACAAGATGTTTTAGTATCGGAGAATTCCCAAGTACAACCATGAGTGGCTCCAACCAATCTGAGTCATCTGGACATATACGTAACTTTCCGAGTCGAGAGAAGTTGATAGTGCTACTGTACCTAAGCTGCGATGAAAACAAACAAAACGTAAACCACAAGCAATGTGGGGGGAGAGAGAGAGAGAGAGAGAGAGAGAGAGAGAGAGAGAGAGAGAGAGAGAGAGAGAGAGAGAGAGAGAGAGAGAGAGAGAGAGAGAGAGAGTGAAAATTCTATTCCCAACTTGAGCAAGTCAGAGTTGTAGAGAACCAATAGCACTTGAAGGCTCTATACTTGGGTGTGAAGTAAACATGTATTAGCAGTCAAGTATTCTTCTTCTTTTAATCATGGTTCTCTTTACAGATCAAACTCAAAACTAGAGGAGTGAATGTAAAATTCGGAAAACTTTTGCACATTCTCTGGATTCTTCTTCGAATCATTAGCCAAATCAGCCCTCTGAGTCTCTCGCTTTTTCTACTGGATCATTTCTCCCACGGAAAACCATAATCATTATTAGCCATTCCCAATTGCAGTTGATATCTTGTTACGCACTGGTCTCATACTATTTAGAGTTTTTTTTTCTTTGGCTATGAATTTAAATATCATTAAAAAATGAAATGTTTAGATTTTACAAATTTGAATATACCAAAAATGGAACACTTATTTTAGAAATGGTTCCATAGCAAAAATAAAAATAAAAACATGGAAGTATAAAACTATCAGTATTTTGTCTAGTCTTCTTCCGAAGATGATATAATAGCGATAAAGCGCTAGTGAGACAACCATAAAGGAAAACCCAAACTTGAGTCGAAGTTGGAATAGCAATTTGAAAGGATGGGAGAATCGATCACTAAATAAAAGGAAACTGTTTCACTGGATGCCCGAGCAAAAAGAGAGAACTCTAAGATGCTGAAAGAGGCTCGAACTATACCGTCCTCAGTATCTCAGTATCGATTCTCAGTCAACCAAACTTAGAGACCAACTCTAAGCGGAAACGACACGCACTAAAGCAACAAGGAAAACTTATTCTCTCTACCAAAATCTTTCCCCGATGTCGGCTAGCACATAGACAAGCAACCACATGTAACCAAAGTGTTACTACCTCCTCCAACTGCCAAGCTTCCCAAAAAACACAATCTAACCTGAGACTAACCTCCAACAAGCCAAGATGACAGCCATAACTCTAGATTTAGCAATACTAGCCAAGGAACTGAGATGAAGAAAACTCACCATAGGCAGAGACGGAGCTCTACGCCACCACCTTACGGAGCCTTAACGAGCAACCTTACAAAGCAAAAGCCTGAAAATCCCACTCTGGAAACCAGTCCATTCACACAAAGAAAAGCCTCCACGCAGCAAAACGACCCTAAGCAACTAGAGGAAACACACAAAATTGAACCGCCTAGGGGAAGAAGGGGATTCTGGAAGACGCTACTCTGCCCTGGCCCACCAAACAACCAACTGATAAGCTTTATGTTCCTCTGGCTTTCATGAAGCAGAAACATCTATCAGGGAGAGTTGTCAAGAAGTATGAAACATGAGTCATGAAAGTGGCTAAGGAGTCGAATATTGTTATTGAAATAGTCTTTGTTGCTTTTAATAAGTAAAACTCTATCGTTTAATATTTTAGGCTTTGGTATTTAAAGGGCCAAATGTTTAAGGTTTCCTTATCCAACAATATTAAACTATCAATCAATCTATTGCTGCCTCTTTCTCTATTCTCTCTCGATATCGCAAGTCACCGACTTGTTGTTAGGTCATCGACTTGAAATTTGGTATCAGAGACTCAGGAATTTTGATGCCTAACCCAGAGAGTTCAGGAGTCACAGATCCGACCGTTACCGAAACCCCATCTCAAGACCTGAAGTTCCACGAAAGGTTCAACAAGATGGAAAATGAACAAGCTTGGCTTCAGGAAGCGTTTGGAAACTTAATCCGAGTTCAGATGGGGCATACTCCGACCTTATTCACCACTCCGCTTTCTACGCCGTAGATCACACACACGACTCCAGCTCAAGGAAGTCTCTTTTCGCCTTCGGGAGAGAGGAACATAGACGACAGAGCAGCAGTATCATCACCACTGGAGATCCCTCAACCACATCTGGACAATACCACTGCGGGTGAAACCATACTGAAATCTCCGAGGAGGGTTGCGGAGATACCATTATTTGAGGATCAGAGCACAGAAGAATGGCTTTACAGGATTGACAAAGCTTTCGCTGCAAACAAGACACCTGAGAAAAACAAAATGGAGCATGCCACAACTTGTTTGACGGGTAGCGCAGTCACTTGGTTGAGGTACATTCAGGACAGAGAAGTCATTGAAAGACTGGAATGACTTTAAAGAGCACTTCAGGGCAAGATTCGGCCTCAGTAGAGGTGGTTCCATCATTGATCAGTTGATGAAAATCACACAGAAGGGTTCTGTCGATGAGTATCGCGAGAGGTTCGAAGAGCTGCTAGTGGAAGTCCCTCATGTGCCGAATGATGTAGCTGAATCAATGTTTCTAAAGGGGATGAAGAAGCATCTGCAGAACCAGGTGCTCAGGTGCTAACCTTTGGGGATCAACACTATTGTAGCTGCAGCGAGACTTATTGAAAGGCAAGAGAGCAAAAACCAAAGCTTCTCTTACAGACCTGCTCCTCGACAATACCCACTGTAGTCTGGAAGCTACACTTGCCTTTCTGGACTTAAGGAAGCCATAACGCAATGTGTTGGTGCTTCCCGACTTTACAGAGCCTTTCGTCATTGAAACAGAATCCTCTTGTAATGGAATATGCTCTATTTTATCTCAAACTAACAGACCTATCGCCTATATCAGTCAAGGTTTCACATCTAAGGGCAAGCAGAAGTCGGTTTATGAGCGGGAACTGCTAGTGATTGTCTTCGTCATCAACAAGTGGAGACGTTACTTGAAAGGAAACGACTGCATAATCCACACTGATCAGTGGAGCCTCTAGTATCTGCTTAATCAGAAATCAGGCACCTCCGAGAAGAAAAAATGGGCTTCAAAGTTGTTAGGGCTGAACTACAAGATCGAGTATCGTCCAGGACAGATAATAGAGTCGTTGACGCCTTAACCAGGAGACCTCACAAACACCAATACGTTCAGCTCAGCATTACTGCTCCTCTTTCGTTGGACAGAAATGAACTGGTGCAAACGGTAAGTACTGATCCTGAATTGCAAAAACTTGTTTCCTCCATCGAAACAGGTCAATGTGAATCAGGTTATACTTACGAGAAGGGGTTCTTGTTCAAAGAGGGCCGTTTAATGTTGCCACGAGGATCGATTTTCACCACACAGGTTCTTGAGCAGTTCACTCTAGTGCGTTGGGTGGACATGAAGGGGTGCTCAAAACGTACAAACAGTTGGCAAGAGAGGTGTTTTGGAAGGGAATGAAGAAGGATGTTGAAGACTTCATCATCAACTGCCAAACATGTCAACACAACAAATACTCCACGCTCTCTCCCAATCCCGAGCTAGGTATGGTCTGAAATAAGTCTGGATTTCATTGAGGGTCTACCGGTGTCTTATGGGTTTGATGTGATTCTAGTGGTGGTTGATAGATTGAGGAAATATGCTCATTTCATCTCTCTCAAACAACTTTTCACGGCAAAAGCAGTGGCAGAAATTTTCGTGAAGGAGGTCGTTCAGCTTCATGGGTTTTGGGAAAAGATGTTCTCTGACCGTGACAATGTCTTCCTCAGTTAGTTCTGGTCAGCTCTCTTTGCTGCACAGGGCACATCGCTGCCTAAGAGCATGGCGTACCACCCACAAAGCGATGGTCAAATAGAGGATGTCAACCGATGCCTTGAAACTTACCTCCGATGCTTTGCAGGGGAGAAGTCAAAGACGTGGGTGAAATGGCTCCACTGGGAAAAGTATTGGTATAACACCTCATTCCACTCTTCTCTCAGGAGTACTCCTTTCAAAGCTCTGTATGGTCGTGATCCTCCTCGGATGTTGAGATATGGGGATGTTCCCACGACAATTACAGCTGTCGAAGAAATGCTGCACAACAAGGATATCATTTTGGAAGAGTTCTGTGGGAACCTCCACAAGGCTCAGAAGCGCATGGAGAACTCGGCTAACAAAAGCCACCGTGATGTTGAGTTTCATTTGGGGGGGGGGGGGTGAGGGGGGGGGGATAGGGTCTACCTTAAACTACGCCCTTATATGCAGGCCTCTGTCGCAACTCGCAGAGATGAGAAGCTGGCACCTCGTTACTTTAGACCATTTGAGATACTTCAGAGGATCGATATAGTTTCTTACAAGTTGCAGCTCCCGCTGTATAGCCTCATCCATCCAGTCTTCCATGTTTCATTGCTCAAACGTGCCATCACTGCTCCTGCTCAGGTTCAACCTCTTCCAGCTATCTTAGCATCAAATCTGGAGTGGCAGACAAAACCAGAGGAGGTGTTGGACATTTACCGTACTGATACAGTGGGAAAGGCGTTAATCAAGTGGAAAGGATTACCTCTGTTTGAAGCTTCATGGGAACTACTCAACAAAATCGCAGAGCAGTACCCAGCTTTCCATCTTGAGGACAAAGTGAGTCTTCTTCTGGAGGGGGGAGGGGAGGGTATTGATAAGCTTGCTGTTCCTCTGGATTTCATGAAGCAGAAATATCGATCAGGAAGAGTTGCCAAGAAGTATGAAAGAGGAGTCAACCGTGAAAGTGGCTAAGGAGTCGAAGACTGTTATTGAAGTAGAGTCTTTGTTGCTTTCAATTAGTAGAACTCTGTCATTTAATATATTAGGCTTTGGTAGGTGGGCAAAAAAACCGAACCGAAGTGTCCGAACCAACCGAACCCGAACCGAGTCAAACCAAACCAAAGTCTATATCAAAACATTTCGGTTAAGATTTCTGTCAACCCGAATGGTTCGGTTCAGTTCGGTTTAAAACCAAACCGAACTGAAATTCAATATGTTTTCTTAATTATTAATTTATTAATGATTAATAATTTTATTATCTTTAAAAATTAACAGTTTAGCACTATTATTTAAATATTGTCTTCGATTCTCAAATCTTAAAAGAAAAACCTAAAACTCATGTTATATATAAGTAACTAGGTTTCATTAATAAA